GCGATGTTCTACCTTAGTAAAACGTTGGTCGAACCCGAACTCAACTATACTATGCCTCAGAAGATGTCTTATTCGTTGGTTTACGCATGCACCAAATTGGAGCATTATTTTTTGCCAAGGGAAACTGAGGTAATTGTTAAGTTCGATATTATTAAGTTAATTCTTCAGAGGCCTAATATGCTGGGGAGATTGATGATAAGTTAATTCTTCAGAGGCCTAATATGCTGGGGAGATTGATGAAATGGGCAATTAAGTTAGCCCATTTTGCATTATCATACAAACCCTTTAAGGCGGTCAAAGGCCAGGCCATGGCCGATTTTTTGGTAGAATTCTCCCAAACGGATATAATCTGATCACCAGTTCTTTGTCGGAGTCGGGCCGTAGGTTATGAACTTCGATGGGCCCAGCACTCGGGAACGTTTGGGAGCCTGGGTAGTTCTTGAGGGCCCAGGGTCCAAAATGATCAAACTTTGTTTGCAATTAAAAGCCATGATTCACAATTCTGCGGAATATGACTCTTATTTTGGGTTTGCAAGCTCTTGTGAACAGAGAAGTTCAGTCAATGGTCATTAAAGGGGATTCAACTTGTAATCAATCAGGTTTTGGGTCTATATGCCTGCAATCTACCCCATTTGAGGAGATACAAAGACATAGTAAGTAGACTACTACTATCTAGAATTATTGAGGTTACGATTGAGCACATCCCTAGGGCAGAAAACAGTTGGGGAGACGAGCTGACATAAAACATCTATACGGCATACCGAGGTATTGATTGTGTGATGGGGGGTCATCCCAATCATGAGGTAAATAGCGTGGATTGGAGAACAGAGATTAAAGATTATCTGAAGAGCCCAGACTCCTCGGTCACGATCAATGTCCGATTGAAAACTTTACAGATTCAATTAATTGGCGAGTCACTATATAAAAGAACATTGGATGATATTCTTTTCTGGTGTTTGGGACCCAAATAATCGGTTGCCGTTATGCAAGAGGTCTATGGTGGAATTTGCAGGGCCCATCGAGCAGGGTTGAACATAAGATGGGCCATTCATCGTTTAGGATATTTTTGGCCCAAAATGTTCAAAAATTGCATAAAGTTTGCTAAAGGATGTGAAGAATGTCAAAGACATGGGCCGTTGAATCACTTGCTCAGTGAGGAATTGCAAACGATGATCAAACCATGGCCGTTCAAAGCTTGGACCATGGATATTATCAGGAAAATTCACCCATCATCGTCCAAACAACATTCTTTCATTTTGGTGGCAACTGATTATTTTACTAAGTGGGTGGAAGCAATCCCTTTAAAGAACGCGACCCAACAAGAAGTGATGAATTTCGTTCAGGAATATATTATTTTCCGCTACGGAATTCCGCACACTATTGTGACAGATCAGGGGCTCATGTTCAGTGGAGAAAAGTTCGTGACTTTTTTGGCAGAATTTAATATTGAGTTGCAACATTTTTCGCCATATTATCCACAAACAAGTTGACAAGCCGAGGCTGCGAACAAGATCATCATCATTATCATAAAAAATATGATTAGCGATAACTTGAGGAAATGGCACGTGTTTCTGCCACAAGCCTTGTAGGCACATCGGAACAGCCAAAATTCGACAACTGGGTTTTCACCGTCAACGTACTTTCGGGCAGGATGCAGTCTTGCCAGCCGAAGTTAAAATACCCACCGCCCGAATAACTTTGATTGAGGTCGATGACGGAGATGATGACATAAAGCATAAAATGCTTCAGCAGTAAGAAGAACTGGATGTATCTCGGATGAAGGCAATTGACCACATATATCTGGATAGCGAAGTTCGAATGAAATATTACAACAAGAATGCTAGTGCAAGGAAATTCAAGGAATGAGACATGGTGTGGAAGACTATTCTACCGATCTATAAGAAGGTGGATCAACTAGGGAAGTGGTCCCCCAATTGGGAAGGACCTTATATAATTCACAAAGAGATTGGTAAATGAGTCTTTATTATTATTGATCAGGATGGGAAATCGGTACACGATTGCACTAATGCCAAATTTTGAAAAGGTATTACCCTGCCTTTTCGTGGCACGGGACTGACTGAATGGTCACTTTATTTCTGAACCCAGCAGAGGTTCAGGTCTCTGTGGGACCTAACTAGTCTTCATCAGGGATGGTGATACATGGGGTATCCTCGTCATCATCGGAGTCTGGGGCCAAGGGGGTCCAACAACTACTGGTGGATCTTCACCTAGGAGGTCATCCAGTTTGGGGGGTTACCTTTCCTATTGTTCCTGTATTTCCTCAAATGTCCTTTCGGTCCTTTTTCTTCATATCATCCAGTGTTTGACGTTCTTTGTCAATGAGCACTTGTAAACGGGTGAAAGCTGCCCTTTGCTGAGAGAATTCGCTTACCTAATTGAGATCTGGCATGATGGCCTTACATGGTGTTCAATCAAATCCATGTGGTGTTCCAGATCGGGGAACCGACTGAGCATGTGTTTGGAGGTCTCGTAACTCTCAATTACCCGTTGCATCAAACAGGTAGTTCGATGTAAGGTATGGAGTCCTTTCTGAGAAAATTTGAATTTGAAATCGAGTTGTTTTAGTACCTGTACAAAATCTTCTGCATGAAAGAAATAGGGACATGAACAAGGTGGTTGGGAAGACATGTTGGTCTCCTGGTCAAAGATTTCTGTCTGAAAGGTACTGTTGTCAAGATTGAAGGTTGATTGTCTATTTATTCAATTAGTTGCCGATGTTTTGGCCTGATTTATGGGATCGAGATTATGAATTGACCAAGTGTTGGCTGAAAACAAGCAAAGGCGTAAAAGACAATATCTATAATATGTTGCAGATTTACGAGGTCTTTACAAAAGAGAGTTGATTGTGGCCAGGATGTCTAACCACTTTTGGTTTAGCCTGGCCGTCCTCCGTTGAGCAACGGAGAAGGTTCTTTCCACCCTTTGTTTGGCTCGGAAAGCAACCTCTAGTTCGTGCGCTAGTGCTGTCCGACGATCTGATTGGCTTTGCACTATTTGGTGTTCGTCAAACAGGCACTTGTCCAGTTCGGCCAGCTCTTTCTCTTACCTCGACAATTCTTGCTGCAGACACTGGATTTCCCGTTTGTTTATGTCCATGTCTGCAAAGAGTTGTTCCTTGGATAATTTGAGGGTTGCCACTCTTTGTTGCGATCTACTCAGGGCCAAATCCACATTTGCTAAGGTGAAATCAATGGAGTCGGTAATGGGGGGTTGGATGTCCTGAGTTGTTATAGGCTGACGAAGTGGTAAGTCTTCAACAACTTCTGAGAGTCGCTCAAGAACCCAGTCGAGCACTTGGTTGGCAGGGGATTTGGCGGGTTGGTTACTCAGCAAATTGAGGAGATTATCCATTAGTTCATTTAATTCACCCCCAGTCAGGCTAGCAAGAGGTCTCCTAACTATCTTGGAGATCGCTCACTGGTTGTTCTAAGGGTGAGTATGCTGCGGACATACTCATAATAAAAGAAAATGCAAAATTCGGTGACTTGTTCTTGGGTGGTCGTTTGGGCTGATGGGGCCAAGAACACGGGCAGGTTGGACGGACCTTGAGGTCTTTGTGGAGCGTCACTGTTCGCGCTGATTCTTCAGAAGAATGGGCCGCCACTTCTTCCCTCACTTGGGATTGGGCGACACCCCCTTCGGTCGGCCCAACAAGGTGCTCTTCGGGCACAAACGAGACTGTTTCCTAAGGTATGAAAATGAGTTAAGTTTTGAGGATTGAGTTGTAATGAATGAGCGAGCTTACCGCATATGATTCTTGTCTGGAATCTCACGTTGCGGGGATTGGGGTTGATAACTCCAAATAATAGCATATTCTTCGTTTGACAAAACTGTGTATTACTTGCATTTTGGTGTGAAAACCTTCACAATGCCTAATTTATGGCATACTTTATTGATTTATTTCGTTTGGCATGATCCAGAACCTGTATGTTGAGATTATTGACGTTTTTTGGCCTTTTTAAGTGATGTTTATGGTCCAGAAAAGCTAAGTGTTGAAATCCAAGCAATGGCGTCTCCGCTCAATAAGCAACGCTCTTTCTGTTCAAGCCAGCGCCAGCGACCAGGCATCCACCGCAGCTAAGCGAGAGTGAAGCACTACAGAAATTCACCAAGTGTTCATCTCTCAGCGGTCCAGCCATTTCGATACCAGCCAGCAATGACAGCTCCGCTTTAGCTGCGCTGATGCCCTCCAGCCATCCAGGCAAGCGAGGAAGATTTGTGCCCTTGCATTCGGAAGTAAACGAGCGACCGCCCTGGGAGTTATGGCCAAGTGCAACCACTCTAACTGAATAACTGCCAGCAACGGCCTAATCTTCATAACAGAAGGATAAAGCCACTAATAATACAGAAATTAGAATAATTAAATGGGCATAAGCGCTTGTTTATCGGGTCACAAAAATTTCTAGTGACAGTAGCATTTCTTGCTTATAATGTTCTAATTTTGGACGTCATTGAAGTCTTGTTGTAAATCCCGTAAGGTCAAGTATCAGCGGTTCAAGTTCTGTGTAAATTTGTTTGTATGATTACATTCACATATTATGTCGCTTGCGTGTTTATATGTATAATTTTTCGCTTACTAACTAACGTCATTCGCTCATCCCATCCATGAAATTCTAGCCATTAAGGAACACACAGATCACACACAACATTATCTGGTCACTCCCTACCGCTCACTTAGTATATGTATAAATACCGCTCACCTTTCATCCTTCCGCTTCCGCTTACTTTCCGCGCTCACTACCTCTATCACTCGCCATCCCCGCTCTTGCTCATCTAACTGCTCACTTTTACTTGTTTTCTTTAATTCTGTTGTAATGTAATTCGATTCTTTGGCTCGCTCGTAAGTGAGCCCCTTACCGTTTTTCCGCTGCGCATCTCCAGTTTAGCTTTTGATTAAATTTTGCGACGTAAAATCCCTGTTTTGACCTGGAAACTCACTAGTTCAAAAGTATAAATAATTGTGATAAGCGATTCAGGGTATACAACTTTATTTCTTAATTTATATATAACCATACACAATATTGCACACTTCACTTTATTTTCACTACAAATTCCTTGTACTTAAATCAACAAATCACTATCTATCAGGGGTGCTTAGGAGCTTCTTTAGGTATCATTTGCAATTCGGTTGCTCCTGGCGGTCTTTGCCTCTCAACCGATGCTTCCGCACCTTGGTCGTTCACTAGTTGGTTGACCGTCCCCGACCCTTCTTCTAAAACTTCGACAATCTGGAAATTCGGTGTATAAGTGCAACTTGGAGAAGATTTCAATAATTATTAAGAACAAAATGTTACTTAGGATGGGATCTGACCTCCAATTTCGGCAGGCACTAAGGGTTCCGGCCTTGAAACATCGGCAGGTAAGGCTTGCCTTTTGACCAGCGCCTCTACGTTATAGTCGGTCATCGGCAAATCCATTGGTGGGTTATTATCACGTTGAAATGCCATTTATGGTTAAAATATAAGGAATACCTCAGGTGTAGGAGTTCGTGTGGCTGGATGGCTTGAAGTTGGTAGAGGAATTGAGGCAGGAGTTGGTTCTTTTGGTGCAGGAATGGCCAAGCTAGGAGTTGGGCCCGTCGGCGCGATGGTTGGATTCGCAGTTGGACTGGCGGCAGCTGACGCAAAGACAAGGTGAGATCAAGATAAATATTTAAGATCAAGGGTTTACTGGAGTAAAGGTTACTTGCTAGGGCTCACCGTGCAACAGGCGTTTGGAATTCGAGGAAAAGGGTCATGTGTAATGGTAGAGAGGCCATGTAGTCTTCCCTTGCTTTGCGGTGCTCTTCCGAACTTGCCGGTTGGGCCGTTGCAAGAGTCTTGGCCTTTTTCCGGGAAGACCTGGCCCCACCGGCTTGCGTCCCTCATTGTCGTTTCGGTCGTGGGGGTCCCAAGGCAACTTGCCCTGTTAAGGGTTGCGGCAGTAGAATCAACTGGGACCCCAATTGGGCGGTCGGAGGAAAAAAAAGATCTTTATACAATCATCAATGGGTCTTCCGACCACGGGTCAAGCGATTTCCGACCAACATTTTCGAAAGGCTTGGATTGTATTGGGACATTCACGGAAGGGAGTAAAGATGTGGTTAATAAGGTAGTTGGTGAGTTGGTCGGTGTATGGCTTGATAACGTATTCGTCCACGACGTTTTGGGCAAGAGTTCGGATGAGGTGATAAGTGAAGGTTAAATCTGGATGCCTTGGCAGCAGCCGAGTTGACGTGCCAAGTAATGCGAATAGTAGGGGAATGCAACATATGTTTTTTTCATTTTTTCGATCTTTCTCCCAGTAAAAAGAGATCGAGGCTTTAAAGCCGCCTCCCAGCAATATTTGAAGGTTGGATATGGCGATTCGGAGGGAGGCGGATGTGGAAAAGGAATTGAAGGGGAGACGTAGAAAGGTGGTGTGGCGAAAGCAGTAAGATGGAAATAGGGATAGTAGTTTGAGTCGGTAAGGTCGGTTTTTCCAGAATAGCTTTGAGGGTGGTCTCAGGATCTTTTTGGTGTTTTCAGTCGGAGCAAAGGAAGAGAAGATATTGGCCGAATGATATATCAGAATTGAGAAGAAGGCATTGTCACCCGAAAAAGAGAGGATGGAAGTATAGACGGAACCAGAGTTCCAAAAACCAAACGGGACCGGAAAAAACAGTGTCAAGTTTGGTGGAATTGGAAATTTTCGGGCAAGTTTTGGAAAGGCCCTAAAAAAGGCTGGAAATGAGCAATGTACTGACTGAGAAAAATCGGCCCTGAGTCAGGTGGATGACGATGTTAGTATAGGTATATGTGATAGATTTGGAAGATGGGCAGATTACATATCTGTCATGGCCAGAATATATAAGCATATAAGAAAGTTGTATAGTAAGAACAAAATGTTGAATTCGGAGAGGGCCACGTACCTGCAGAGCCAGTATAGCAGAACAACAACGTGCTTCTCGTCGGTCACTGAGGTGTCTTTCGCCCCACAATGCATTTTCATATAAGGCCCCCAGGCCACGACTTTGTTGTGCGAGGATGTCGTTATCGTCCACCCTGGATGGTCGGTTGCTGGTTCCTGGCCGGTAAGGGTTTCAACTAGTGGGTCCTCCCCTACAATCGAGAGGTGAGCGATCATGGAGACATCCATCAAGGTCGGGCCAATTGGCCCTGAGGATAGCAGGAAAACACTAACCTCCAGGTCCCAGAAGGTAGTCATGGCTAGGATGATTGTGTCTTGAATGTTGAAGCTTTGGCCGGACAACAAAATAGCTTTGTTAAGCCCTTGTTGTTTACATTGTTTCCCTAAACTCTTCTCCATCCTTTCGTGTCAAGTGCGAAATTCATCCCTGAGATCCAGAAGATTGGTTTTGATTCCGTCCCAGAGACATGATGCGTTGAAGGCTCCATCGTGAATGGCGAGACAATGGTTGTGCTGCAGAAAATTTAGCGTTGAGGCTCCTTCGGCGACGGTGGAAACGAAGGAACGCACCACTGGAGTGGTGGTGGAAGATGAGCTCATAGCAAGCTGAAGAGCAGATCCATCAAACGGAATCAGGGTTGTGGTCTTCATGGCAATATGAGTACCTAACGCACAAAAAGCTGAAGTGAAGTGGGGAGAAAGGTGCGTTGGATGTTCCACGGGAATTTTGGATGAGGTAGGAGGAAGAATGCTAGTGATAAAAGATTTTAACCTTGCCCTCCCCTTTTCGACCATCGTAATGATAATTTTGCAGACCTGAGACAGAGGGAAGAATATGTCATATCAACAGTCACTGCCCTTGAGATGTGACTCTTGACATTCTCTGGGGGGCGGCAAGTTGTTGAGTTACGAAAAGTGGAGTTTAGGGTTTCGCCCCATGGGCTTACGAGGACAAGTTGGGCCCGTAGGGTCAAATTGGGTATTCGGAGATCTGGCAATACAATTCGGCAAGACTGGAAAACGGGTGCGATGGGCCAATGGATCCTTCGTTTTCAGGCCAATTGATTGCGAAGTCAAGAAGCACTACTTGGATGGTTGAGGTTTTCGAAGACTGAATGGGCGTATCTTATAAAGTAACCGATTCGTCCAAAGACTGAAGGGACATGCCCTGTGAAGTAACCGATTCGGGTGGTTGCATGTTCAGGGGTAACGGTCAGGCGGTTGCCGCACGATCAGGTAACCGAATCAAACTGCCCGAAACCGAGGCGGACGAATTGATATAAGCAAAGCGCAAGGGCAAAGAGGGACAATACTCGATAACACAAGAAAATTCTAAACAACTTTATATTTTAGTTTTCTTTTTAACTCTAATTTTCGTTTCTTGTTTATATTTTGGGTTTTTGTATTAGCAACTCTTACGCGTAAGGATTCATATATGATCTCAAGCACACCTCATCAAGTTCGAAATCTACTTTCGAATTTTACTTTATTTTGTTAGATTTCTCAAGACAACAAAATTATATATGCATAATATTGAAACTCAAACCAAATTTTTTTTCGAAACAATATAAAAAAAAAAACAAACCTTTATACAAAAGCACACATGCAAAATAAAAAAATATCTCACTAATTCATTGTTGCATTCTGCGGCAATATTTAATAGAAACGAAATACACGGTTAATAAAATCATCCTTTGTTATTTCTGTAACTTTAACTAAATAATTAAATCTTTTAAAGGTGAGAAGGATTTTACCTATTCATTAAATTTTTCCCTTAAAATTGTTTCAATTTAAAAATTTTATTATTTAAATTTCAACTCAATATTCAAACCTGCAAACAAATACACCCTTAAAAAGAACCTCCTAATCATCATCATATATATATATATATAGATACATATATATTTATATATAAATAGATAACATATACGTCATTTGTATATATCTAATATATTGTCAGCAACATGTGTAGTCATATTGTATTATATTTGCACCTACAAAATCTAAAGTGAAGTTTTTTTAAGTTAAAAAATTATATTCAATATCTAAATTCTATACAACTAATCACTATTTTCCACTGAAACACAAAAGAAAGCACTAAAAACATCTCAAAACACATGGAAACAGCCATAACATTGCTATTTCTTTTTTAGATGTTTACTTTTTGTCACCGAACATCAAATCTAACCAGTATTTAAATACAAATATTTTTGTTTTTTAATCAATTTTTACCGAGCAATCATCACGATTCTATATAAAAATAAATATCACATCAACCACTATTTAAACACAACGTAAACACAAGTTTCAAACCAAATCAAGTGAAGTGCTGCGCAACTTAACATAAAACTTGGTATCAAAGCCAGCCACAGACAGCACAATATATATATATATATATTGTATAGGATAAATGGCATATAAATCAATAGTGTAGTATGAATTTATGAAGTTCACAAGGCTGTCAAACACTCATTAAGGCAGCAGTAGGCTGCAAAGCAACAGTTTCAGCATTTCCATATTTCCTAGAGACTGCCTTCAAATCAAAGTATAATTTAAGTAATGAATCACAAATAATTTCAATGTTAAATTCGAAATGTGTCATGCCTCAATGAGACTATCATCTCTAGAAACACTACACTTATTTTCATGAGCTTTGGAGGTAGTAACTCACTCACTCTTACCTTCTTGAGAACCAATTTCTTGGAGGAAATGTTCTGCATCCAGTGCAGCCATACATCCTGCACGCATATCAATTCTGGTTGAGATTTCATTCGGAAAAATAATTACTGTGATAATAACAGGTGAATAAGCATTCAAAATAATGCATCTTCTGAGAGACAAAGCTAAGATGTGTTTTAGGAGGGAGGCAATCTTGACACTTCCTTTGCGGAGTCTCAGATCATGATATAATCGATTCCAACAATTGATTGACCAATGCCCTCCAAAATCCCTTCTTTTAGCTCTGCTTCACCACTTAAAATTCAGAGCTAATGAGAATAATCATAAGGGGAGAGTCAATGCTTGTCCTTGTCATTGTCCGGACTCACGAGGTCTTTTACTTATTGCCCCTTTATGAGCTTATTTGAAGATGGATGAGTTGGAGAAGAATTAAAGGAATTCATATGCCTACAATGTATAAAACAGGAGGCTTACATTGGCTGCCATAGCCATGTGTTGTAGAGAAAATTCTAAAACTACATCTTCCCAACAATGATGACTTATAGTTCTAATTCATGCAGTAGTCTGGGTAGATAAGCTTACATAACTAGAGTGAGATTTGGATACGAGATACAGTTAGACTAGGTTAGGATTATTACTCCTATCTATACATGCATAGCCAACGCATGTGCTGGCAAGAAACTTCACAATTCACTCAGCACCATCTCCCTGATGTCCTGCTCCTAGCCTCTGCCATTGAACTTATCTTTTTAGTCAACTTCACCTATCCTCACCCCTGCCTCCTTAATTACTCATCACTATCTGTCTACCACCATTCCTAAGTTGTTAGTTTCATCCTCTACTTGATCATGTTCGATTGGTCAGTCCAGCTTCACTTTTACTTCAGTTGGATCCACAGTGTTCTAATTTGCTACACTTTGTTTGGATTTCGTTTAAATAAATTGGTTACTTACCAATCTTTTGAAAGGTTAAGGGGGTGTTTGGGAAAAAGCTTTTTGAAAAGCTTTTAGCTTATTAAACAACTTTTAGTTGTTTGACCAATCAAAAGGCCAATATATGTGTTTGGTAAATTAGTTTTTCCATACATATAAATATATTTTAATTGGAGTATTTATTAATTACTTTAATATATTTAATTTATTATTAATTTATTTATATATTTTTTTATTATATAAATTTTACATTAAAATTTAATAAACAATAATTAACATAATAAAAAAATATATATGAAAGATTTATTATTTTATATTTTACATAACTTCAATAAAAAATTAATTATTATTGTTCTTTAATTAAAATATTTTTCTCAAATCTAAAAAATAAGAATAAATATTTTATAATATTTTTATAATTTTCAATAATTAATAACAAAAATTTTCAAAAATTTTAAACCAAAATGAAAAAGAATTAAATATTTTAAAAAATAACATATAAATGTCCTTAATTATCATTTTACATGTAAACAACTAATGTCAAATAGTCGTACTAAACATTTTAATACATACAACTAATTGAATCAACTAGTCAAACCAGCTAATTGATTAAGTCAACAACTATCAGTTAATTGAATCAGCTAACAACTATCAGTTAATTGAATCAGCTAACAACTATCAGTTAATTGAATCAGCTAACAACTATCAGTTGATTGAATCAGGTAACATGTTAATTGCTAAACGATGTGTCTGGCCATACAAAAAAAAAAAAAAAAAAATTGAACAAAGGTGAAGATTGTGTTAAATCCTAGAAAGGTTATGTTGCTACATATTGTGGCTTTGTATAATAAACCCCCCTGTGACATAATTCTTATGCTAATGAAGCTACTACAATAGTGTTTTCTGTGTATGAGCTTTTTTGTGTTGTATCACACATAATATAAGATGGGGAAGATTGTTAGTGCTTGACTATGCTAGTTTTGTATTATGTATTCCACTATTTCTTTGAAAGATGTAGCACAACTCGAATAGTTGAATAAGAAGAAATCAAGGTCCAAAAAGAGTTTATCCCTACAACATGTTAAGTCCAAAGATGAACTTGTAGATAGATTCACTAAGGTATCATATTTGTAACAAGATGGGTATGATAAATACATATATGCTTCAGCCTGGGGAGGAGTATTGATAGGATTGTTACTCATATATGCTCTGTGTGTGTGTGTGAGTAACCCCAGTCCAAAGATGAATTATAAGGGAACTGTTTGTGAGTCACAGAATCATATGACAAGTCACTACAAATATTGAACGCATAAAGTGAATCTAAGCAGAAAACCATTTATAGCCAACAATTATGGTTGTTAGTTAAAGCAAAAAGTGGAGCCTGCCCCAACATATTAACATGAAAGCACTATAATAAGTAGTGTTAGGTCATTTCATTATCAAATAAAAGTTTTACTTGCCTACATAGTATTGCCAAAACTTTTAAGGTCTTGCAATATCTTGTGCATTAATCCGTTGACAATTTGGTGGTACAACATCCATTAAGATTATAGAACAAAAATACTATTTGATGTTATTAAAATATTTACAATTTGAATGACAATGTTTCAATATTTGGCCACAATGAAGAGAATTTGGTGGGCTACAACACATAAACATGATATCTCAGGATTGAGGTGGTGTTATTTGCCTGAAGATTAATCCTAGCTACATTATTATAACAAATTTTTAGCTCTAGTCACTATTTTGATCATTTCAGATGAAAAATTAAGATTAACGAATAGCTTCAAGCCTGCAACTTTTAGAGTTAGAGAGACATATTCAGTCCTGCTAATAGAATTCAAATGATTTGCTTCATTCACTAGTTTTTACTGTCGGAATGTTTGCATCAAACTTTATTATAGAATCTGATGTAACCCAATTAAACAAGCCTTCCATTATGAGTTAAAAAGTAATTCCTGTAATCTTTTCTTTACCCAATTCTTCCCACATTGACACAGTCATGTTTAGACACAATAATACAAATGCAGCATCTAGTTCCAACAATCAAAATCTATTCTTTCTTCAGTGGTGAAGGGAAGGAATAACTTTCAAAATGAAATCATCCCCTCTTTTATTTAAACTTTCAATATTGGATCCAGGGAAACAGGAAACTCAAACATATATATTCCTCAGGAATCCCATGAGGCGTGCATACCTGTTTTCAAGAAAAAGGAAACTACATGCTAGCATCATAAGGAGAGCTACATCATTAGGAAAATGCTTTACTTGCTTCATAGGTTCTTCAAAAAATTCAAGTGCAAGTCAAACTATTCCATGACACAGATATCTTCTATGCTTAAACAGACCATGCTTAGCTTGAAGAACAGGATTGATTGTTCAATCACATTAAACTCTATTGTATTCAAAGAATAAAAAAAAAAAAAAAGAAGCGTGTGTTAGTTTAAACTATTTAATTGTTTCATCATCCATAGCAAACAAACAATGAGGTTCGTCAAACTAATTAATCAATCCTATCCATCAAACTACACAGAAAGGCTAAAGCAATTAATAATTTGCGAAAATAGCAATCGTAAATTAAATAGAACAAAGAGGCATTAAAGCTAAAAGCAATAAACATTGAAATTGTATTACTATGAGCAATCTCACCAGATCCAGCAGCTGTGATGGCCTGCCTGTATTTCTTATCCTGGACATCTCCAGCTGCAAAAACACCCTTGACGCTGGTCTGCGTAGTGCCAGGCTTAGTTACCACATAGCCATCAGAGTCCAATTCCAACTGACCGTCAAGAAACTTGGTAGCAGGTTCATGGCCTATGGCAAAGAACAGACCAGAGACCTTCAGATCCAAAACACTCCCACTCTTCACATCCTTCACTTTCAATCCCTCCAAACTCCGCTCCCCATATGCTTCAGCCACCACAGAATTCCACAGCACTTCAATCTTAGGGTTCGAGACCGCTCTGTGCTGCATTATCTTCGAAGCACGAAATTCATTCCTGCGATGAATAATGTACACCTTGGAACCGTACTTTGTTAAGAAAGTAGCTTCTTCCATCGCCGAGTCCCCGCCGCCTATCACGGCAAGCGGCTTATCTCGAAATATGGGAGCGGCGCCGTCGCACACAGCGCACGCAGATATGCCGCGGTTCCAGAAGGTATCCGAACCGGGAAAGGTGAGGCGTCTGGCGACGGCGCCGGTGGCGATAATGACGGAATCGGCAAGGACAGTCTTGGAATCAGCAAACAGTTTGAAGGGAAATGAGGAGAAATCGACCTTGGAGACGGTCTCCGTGAATATCTGAGTACCGAAGCGGAGAGACTGGGCACGGAACTTGTCAGTCAAGTCGAGGCCACCGATCCCGTCGGGAAAGCCGGGGAAATTCTCGACGTCGGAGGTGGTGGTGAGCTGTCCTCCGGGGGCGATATCGTTGGCCATCCAGCCTTCGAAGAGGATGGGCTTGAGCTCGGCCCGGGCGGCGTAGATGGCAGCGGTGTGGGCGGCGGGTCCGCTGCCGACGATACAGAGGCGGGTAGTGAGAGTCTGGAGGTCGGCGTCCATGGCGGAGGAGGAGGGTTTGGAGGAGGAGGAGGCGGCAGTGGTGAGAAGGGCAGCGCCAACTAGGTTGCGAGCCGTCCTTTTGAGAGCGCTAAAAAGTAGGGGGCAGCAGCGGCTGACCATTTGACTCGCTTACTTTTCAGATGATCGATCATATGGTAATTGCTATCATCGTATCGCATCGTGGGGCGGGCGACGTCTATTTATTTTATTATTATTATTATTATTATTATTTTATTATTTTTATTTATGACACATACTCTTCACAACTAAACTCGAATTTTATTAATGGCGCCATTCCATTCCATCCCAGCGACCTGATCCGACCCGACCGGATCCTTCTCCCGCACGCCCTTCGACTTCAATAAGGTTGTGCCGCGTGTAAGACGACTCCGGGTTTGTTTTGGTCGTTGCATTTCAATACTTGGACAAGTAAGAGCAAAAGCAATAATACAATGTAAAAATAACCTCGATTCATTAACGCTGTGTTTGTTTTGTGGTTGAATTTTGAGTTCGAAATTTGAATAATAAAAATGTTGAATTTGAATAGTTGTATGATATAATATAAATAGGTGTTGACATGATGTTTTGAATTTAAATTAATTTTTAGTATAATATAACAAATAAAAAATTAGATATTTGATTTGATTTTTTTTTTTTTGGAGACAAAATGGGATAATAATATATTTAAAATCCAATTCCCCAAACAAACACCCCCTAAGTGTTACAAACGTGTTTGGAAAAAATTGTCCAGTCATAAAAAAATTCAAATAAAGGTCACACACTGGGTTTATTTTAAAGATGCACCCATCCTCCAAAGGAGATCCAGATATCGGCGACGAGCAAGTCGCGTCCAACAGGCCGTTCGAACTCCGATAAGAAACACAATTATTTTTTTCTCAATTTTTTCTTCTTCGTCTGACTTGTTTATCAATTTTAAGTTTGATTTTGTCTTCAATGATTGAATATCTTGTGTTCGTTCTTCAATCGTTTGTAGTTGAGGTTTAGTGGAGGTCCAACGGAGATATTTTTTCGTTAAACTATTTTTTCCAAGTATGTTGTAAATGTAGATTTGTAAAAATTGGAATGGTATCCCATTAGTGTTAAAATTTTTCCGTATGGGAGCGACTGTTACTCCAATTTTGAGTTGTCATTCAAGTATTTTTTTAGATCTGTTTGTTTACGAAATTTACAATTAAGGATGTTGTTGGTTGATCTAGCGAATCAATTTTTGTCATCCATTTAGATTCAACTGTGATGGTATTTAACCCATGTCCCTTGAAATCGTTTGCAAAATGTGGGTGCTTTGTACTGGGCTTTTTTATTTTACATTATTTATGGATGTTTTATTATAGGAAACAAATTGCAAATTAACTTTATTAGTCAAGTAACTGTTTTTAATTTTGATATTTTTCTTTCATTTGTTGTCTTAACGTGGTGTACTGTGGGTCATTTTAAAATGCATTTTTCTATTAATTTACTTTGGAAAATTGTATCAAATAGGTGTGCATCTATGTGGTATGTGTGATGTTTATAGAAACTTTTTGTTATAGACTGGAGTTTCCAAAAACAGATGAGTTGGGAGAATCAATATTTGTTTCTCTAAACTTTTTGTTATACTAATCAACTCAAAATTCAGCAAAATTTTTTTTTTAATTTTTTTATTATTTATTTCTCAGTCATTTATGTGATGTTTCTTAGGTGAAATAATGGTGGATGTTTTGAATTTAAAAAAAGTGTGTTACATGTGACGTTTTTAGAAAAAATTTGAGAGATTAAATAGTAACATATGAGTTAAAAAACACTTACGTAAACAAAACTTTATATATGTCTACATTTGTGACTATTGAATACATGGGGTTGACAATCCACAGGAAATTAATATGAGTCTAATATAATAGAGGAAACGGACTAAATTTACTTGTTTCTTGTAATTTTTTTTTGTTTTTTAATTGTCAACAGTAGGCTTCTTGTTCATTTTTTTTAGGGTTTGTTCGTTTGAAGGATTCTACCAAAATCCTACTATTCATCTAAAATTTTCCCCCCAAAAACATCAAATCAAACACCTATTTTTTATTTTTTATATTATACTAAAAATTAATTTTACATTCAAAACATCACATCAATACCTATTTATATCACATCATACAATTATTCAAATTCAAAAATTTTACTATTCAAATCCCAACTCAAAATTCAAACCCCCAAACAAACACACCCTTAATTGTCAACAGTAGGCTTCTTGTTCATTTTCCGGTCTCTTATTGTTTATATCTATCATCATTTGTGTTAAATATGTTGATTGGCTTTCTCTATACCTATTGAGTTGAGAAGTTATTTATCAAAGTATGTTGTCCATTTGCTAAATTATTTTCGGGTTGGTTAATCCATCATTGTAAATGATATTAGGTATTTGTGAACATGAAATACTGTGTTGTAAAAAACACCTTAATGGAAGTGTAGTTAAGTAGATGATTTTGGTGTTTTAGTTTGCAAAAGAGAAAACTATGTCGATGAAAAAGACAAAAGTCTACGGTTCTTTTATAAAAAAAAAAAAAAAAAAAAAATGGGTATAATTAATTAGTATGGGAAATTTGTGTTTGGCATTGGGTTTTTCCTAAATGGAAAGAGCTTTGACAACGATTTCATATTGTAATGCACTTTTATATATCTTAAGGTTGTCCTATTCTTATTTCATGTCCATGTTAATCTTATTTCGTACGCACTTATTTTTGTAAAGTTTACATATATACAACTTCAATGGCACTAGTATGTTATTGTGGTAGATAGGGTATCATTAAGATATCAAGAACCGAAAAAAATCCAAGAAAAAGGTATTTCAAGTGCAAACCTTGTGACAATTGGTTAGCTTGGGCAGACGATGTGGCTCGAAGCCCAAACCGCAGTTTTCATACTGATAACCTTTGCTGGTGTATAGTCAATTACAGGGAATTTTTGTTTGAAGATTGAGATGTAAGGAATTATTGAGAGCGATCAGATATAGTAAATTTTTGTGGTTGTAGACCCTGAATGGTTATCATAATAATTTATACTTTTTGACTTGTGAGTTTCCAGGTCGAACACAGGGATTTTAAGTCGCGAATTTAAGTCAAGTGTTGATCTCATGAAAGTGGCGAAAATGCAGTAAAAGGACCTGCTTTGCAGCGGGTTTGAATCTTAATCTACAAAAAGCTGGAAAGAAAAGCGATAGAAAGTGAGCGGTGGTGATCGGACAAGGTGCCAGCGATAGGGACATGAGCGGATGGACACAACATATATGTATATAGATTGAGCGGTAGAGAGTGATGGAGAGGTGTTGTATCTGAACTGTGTGTTACTCAATGGCTAGGTTTTCCTGGGTGAGATGAGCAAGCGGTGTTGGTGTTTAAACGAACATATATGTATATTACGGAAGCGGGAGAATGAGATATTGTAGATATATAAAGCATATTATAAGGAATTTTTATCGATGGTATTTGACCTTAAGAGATTTACAACAAGACTTCAATAACACCCAGAATCAGAACATTATAAGAAAGAAACCTTACTGTCACCAGGAGTTTCTGTGACCCAATAGACCACCACCTATGCCCCATTAATTATCCTAAATTCTGCTTCATTAGTGGCTTTACCCTTTTGTTACCTCTTTTTAATCAAAATTGAATTCAAACCAGTAGTTAAATAGGTCGACAAGGCTCCCACGTACTCAACTACATTGAACTACTTTGAATCTGTTTATGACAAAATACAAGGCTTGGATAATCAATATTTCTGTGCTCTTTACAAGCAAAGTGAAAATTCTCTACAATTAGGGTTTATATAAATGTGAAAAGTATGGAGGAAGTGATAATGAAGAACAAATGATATTTCATTACTTACTACGAAAGCTGGAATTTCTAATTCTACAAAGACTGTACTTAAAGCAATAAACTGAACTAAGTAAGCAGTAAAGTGGTGACCAAGGGAGAAGAGAAATCTCAACTCCCCTGGCCAATCCTGTGGAGAACTCCCTTACAGGGTTGGAGCTCTCGGAAAACAGGAAGACGGCTAGAGTGTGCGAAAATAAGTGCTAGTATACTCCTCTAAAATATATTTTACATACAGATATCTGACCCCATTTATAGTAGGTGGGAGTAACGGTTGCAAGCAGTTAAAAAGTGGTTTCAACCACTAGGCAGTTAGGTAGTTTGTGGCGGTTATTCTTTTGAAGCAATTGGTGGCCATAAATCCCAGGGTGCTCACTTCGCTTGCTTTAGCTTGTAAGGGCGCAGATCTTACTCGCTTGCGGGATGGCTAGAGGGCATCAACGCAGTTAAGCAGGCTTGTTTTGTTGGCTGGTAGTGGAATGGTTGTACCGCTGCGGCTTGGACACTTCGGCGATATTTGCGTTGAGTTACCGTCGCTTTGCTGCAGTGGGTGTCTGGTCGCTGACCTGAGCGTTGGAGCTGTCGCTTGCGAGCGGAGGTGGCTATCGCTTGCGAGCGGTGAAAGCTACCGCTTGCCTTTCTTGCCTTAGCTTTTCTGAGTGATGGAGTAATCGCTTGTGAGCGGAAATGACTATCTCTTATTTTATCTGCCTTAGCTTTTCCGGATCCAAAACACCGCTTAAAAGGGCAAAAATTGTTAGTAATCTCAACAAACCAACTCTGGATCATGCCAAGCGAGATAAATCAATAAAGTATGCCATAAATCAGTTATTTTGATAGTTTTTATACAGAAATTCAAATAATACGTAGTTTTGCCAAGTGAAGAATATGCTCATATTTGAAGTCATCACATACGAATAATGAAAGATATTCTTACACTGGCGAGGGTAATGCAACATCAGCGCCCCCATGTACGAATAATGAAATTCGGTGTTCATGTTTGTGCAACATGAATAAACATCGAATTGAGGAAATCTCCAACCTCTGTTACATAATGGTATTGAATAATGTAATATGTATGGTAATCCTTGTGTGTTTGTTCTTAAAATGGCAAGACCAGCATCTTGCAAGAACGATTTTTGTAGTAGAAAAGTACTCTAGTGCGTTGTTTATGATTCCTTATGCCTAATTTCGGATAATACCTTTGTAGTTGTGTATGTAAGCAAGAAACCGACTAGTTGTCTACATAATCTAGACTCTTCTTGTTGTGTTAATATTGATGTTATTATTGTTGTGA